TATCTGTAAAATATTGTAATTAATGATTTGTTGTAACGAGATCTACTGTAAGTTTTGTACTGTACTGGCTGAGGCTCTGGTTCAAAATAAACGGGAATAATTTAATGTGCCCCCCCCCAGCCCCCTCCCCCAGCCCCAAAAATCCCTTTCCTCACATTTGGGGACCCCCCAGGGAGGGACAGGGGACAATGGGGACACCCAGAAATGGGGGGAAAGGACACTGGGGACACACAGGAGGGGACAAGGGACACTGGGGACATCCAGAAATGGGGGAAAAGGACATTGGGGACATGCAGAAATGGGGAGAGGGGACACTGGGGACATCCAGGGAGTGACAGGGGACACTGGGGACACACAGGAGGGGACAAGGGACATTGGGGACACCCAAAAGTGGGGGGGAAAAGGACATTGGGGACATCCAGAAATGGGGGACAGGGACATTGGGGACATCCAGGAATGGGGGAAAAGGACACTGGGGACACTCAGGGAGGGACAAAGGACATTGGGGACATCCAGGAGGGGACAAAGGACATTTGGGACAGCCAGAAATGGGGAGAGGGGACATTGGGGACACTCAGGAATGGGGGGAAAAGGACATTGGGGACATCCAGGAGGGGACAAGGGACATTGGGGACTTCCAGAAATGTGGGAAAAGGACACTGGGGACATCCAGAAATGGGGAGAGGGGACATTGGGGACACTCAGGAATGGGGGGAAAGGACACTGGGGACACAGAGGAGGGGACAAGGGACATTGGGGACACCCAGAAATGGGGGACAGGGACATTGGGGACACACAGGAGGGGACAAGGGACATTGGGGACAGCCAGAAATGGGGGACAGGGACATTGGGGACACTCAGGAATGGGGGGAAAAGGACATTGGGGACATCCAGGTGGGAACAAAGGACATTGGGGACATCCAGGAATGGGGGACAGGGACATTGGGGACATCCAGGAGGGGACAAAGGACATTGGGGACACTCAGGAATGGGGGGAAAAGGACATTGGGGACATCCAGGTGGGGACAAGGGACATTGGGGACTTCCAGAAATGTGGGAAAAGGACACTGGGGACATCCAGGGAATGGCAGGGGACACTGGGGACACCCAGGTGGGGACAAAGGACATTGGGGACACCCAGAAGTGGGGGACAGGGACATTGGGGACATCCAGGTGGGGAGAAAGGACATTGGGGACACTCAGGGAGGGACAAAGGACATTGGGGACATCCAGAAATAAGGGGTAAGGACATTGGGGACACCCAGGAATGGGGGGGAAAGGACATTGGGGTCTCCTTTTGGGGTTTTGGGAGGGACACAGGACACTGTGGGGACACAAGTGGCACTGGGGACATCCAGGAGGGGACAAAGAACACTGGGGACATCCAGGGAGGGACAGGGGACATTGGGGACATCCAGGAAAGGGGGGGAAAGGACATTGGGGACATCCAGGAAAGGGGGGGAAAGGACATTGGGGTCTCCTTTGGGAGTTTTGGGGGGGACAAAGGACATTGGGGGGGACACAAATGGCATTGGGGACACCTAGGGAAGGACAGGGGACACTGGGGACATCCAGAAGTGGGGAGGAAGGACATTTGGAACCTCCTGTGGGGGTTTTTTGGGGACAAAGGACATTGGGGACACCCAGGAATGGGGGGGAAAAGGACACTGGGGACACCCAGGAGGGGACAAAGGACACTGGGGACACCCAGGAGGGGACAAAGGACATCGGGGACACCCGGAAATGGGGGCAAGAGGACATTGAGGGTCTCCTTTAGGGGTTTGGGGGGACACAGGACACTGGGAAAGGGACAGGAGACATTGGGGACACCCAGGGATGGGGGAGACACTGGGGATGCCCAGGAGGGGACACAGGACATTGGGGACCCCCGGGGTTGGGGACACCCATGGGTGGGAGGGGACGCCTCCCCCCCACCCCACCCGGACTCCATTTCCCAGCAGCCCTCGCGGCGGGCGCGCTTCGCTGGTGACGTCACACGCAACGCGCGGGAGTTCTTACACCGCGTGCATTGCGCGGATCCCTCCGCGTACCTCAGAAAAAATAGTCCCAACCTCATCCCCGTTCCCGTTAATTCCTTCTCCAGCTCCCGCCGCCCTCCGCTCACCCCCGCCCGCCCCGGTGCCTCGGGCGGAGCCGCTGCGAGGCCTCCTCGGGTGTCCCCGCGGGGATCGCAGCGGTGGCGGAGGCGGTTCCGGGCGGAGGCAGCGGATGGATATAAGGGAGGCGGTGCTGCGGCCGCGCCTCTTCCGCCTCTCCCTCAGAGCCGCCATGGTGAGCGCGGCGTGGCCGGGAGCGCCCGGGGGGCTCCAAGGGGGCTCAGAGGGGACCGAGGGGTCTCGGGAAGGGATGTGGGGCCCATATGGGGCACATGTGGGGCAGGGGGTGCCGAGAGGGGCCCTTTGGGGGGGTACGGGAGGGGTTTGGGGGGGCCCTGAGGGGGATGTGGGGTCCGTGTGGGGCAGGGGGAGCTGAGGGGGCTTTTGGGGGGTTTTTAGGGTGCGGCCCTGAGAGCCTCGGGAGGGGATATGGAGTCTCCAGGGGAAATTGGGGGGCAGAGGATGCTGAGGGGGGGCCTTTGAGGGGCTTTTGGGGTGGTTTTAGGGGGGATCCTGAGAGCCTCGGAGGAGATTTGGGGGGCTCAGAGGGGGATTTGGGCCCCATGTGGGGCAGGGGATGCAGAGAGGGGCTCTTGGGGTTTTGAGGGGGGGCATTAAGGGGGCAGGAGATGCTTTTGGGGTGACTGTGGAGGTAGATGGGGTCACTATGGGGCGGAGGGGGACCCTAAAGCAAATCTATGGGGCTGGGGGGATACGGGGACACCCCAAAGCCTTTATGGGGCCAAGGGACCATGGGTGGGACCCTTGGGTGCTCCGGGGTTTTTATGGGGCTGGGGGTTCACAGGTAGGACCTTTGAGTTCTCTAGGATTTTTATGAGGCTGGGGGGGGGTATATGGGGAGACCCCAAAGCTTTTATGGGGCTGAGGGGTCATAGATGGGACCCTTGGGTGCTCCGGGGTTTTAATGAGGCTGGGGGCAGCTCTGTGGGATGGGGTCTCCGGGATTTTTATGGGATTTGGGGGTGGCTCTGTGGGGAGAGATCTCCAGGATTTTTATGGGGTTGGGGGCAGCTCTGTGGGGTGGAGTCTCTGGGATTGGGGGCAGTTTTTTGGGGAGAATCTCCGGGATTTTTATGGGGCTGAGGGTGCCTCTAAATGGGAGATCCCTGAAGGGGCTCTGTAGGGTTTTTCTGGGTGGAATCTCCGGGGTTTTTATGGGATTTGGGGCACTTTTATGGGGTGGAGTCTCTGGGATTAGGGGCAG